GATCTTGCAGAAAAAGAATAAAAATTAAAACTTTAAATTCCACTGATAGGTAGGCAGTCACAGAATTTTACAAATAATGTTAGGAAAAGGAAAACGAAAGGCTAACTGAAGAAATTTGATAACTTTACCTTGTGATGGAGATGGGTTGGGAAGAAACAACCTTCTTGAGGGAACCATTGGAGCAGACAGAGGACAAGAGCTCTCGCCGACCCATGAACAATTGCGTTGGGACGCTAATGCCATGAAGTTTTACAGGCACGGAATTGCAGGCTAAAACTTGCATTTGCGGTGTTTCTGTTGGTGTCATCAACTACAATGTGCTAATTCTTCCTATAATAAATCATGAAGATGGAAATGAGTGAGGAATCAAGCGGAGGATGGGTCTGCAGACTGCCGAGGGAGTAGAATAGAATTGAAGTGAGGACGAGGAGATGACAGTAAACCACTATCACATATTGGTCCGAAGTCGGAAATCACAAGAAAGACCCCATACAAGATCAAAAGTTACTAATGTGTCCTCACAATCTGGAAGTTTCAGAAAAAATCCAAATGGTGGGAAACAAACAAACTTATTAGTCTGGGCCCTGGACTCACATCCTTTGTTGCAAATCATGATCAGGCCACCATTAGCCATTCAACATGGCAGAACAATGTCTGTATCACTTTGCAAGTTGAAACTCATGCAGTACCTCCATAACAATAGTAGTAGGAAGAGCTTTCAATTCAGTCTGAGAATTGGGGACAGTTTCCCCAGTTTGAAACATTGATTACATGAAAGTGCCTGCCTTTTTTGGGGTTTTGATACAAGACTTCCTTTTTGTTGTTAAGGCATTTTTTTTTTTCTCTAGCCAAAAGACAGCATCCCAAAACCAGATTGTTCATTCGTTATTGAAGCAGAAAGTTTAGAAGTACAGAATTTTAAGTGGACCTTTTTTGACTAGGCAGATTTTCACAGTAGAAGAGAGATTTTGAGGATGGAATGCTGAAATCCACCATCAGAATTGGGTTTTAACATCCCAAGAAATATTATCAATTGTTAAAGCTTACTGTCAAGTAAATTTAGAGAATTTATGATTCTTGATTGAATTCAATCTGGTTTCACTCTGCTTTTCTACACCCCTCAACCATACTCATACATAATAGGCCAAAAAGATGAATGCAAAAATATCCTCAAAAGCAACCTTTTGGAACATTCTATGACTTTTACAACAGTACTCAACTCTAAACCTAGTTCTACAACCTGCCATGTTACCAATCAACATAATCTTATATTTAATGTAAAACTGATAGCTTCATGTTGCTACCTTATTTTAAGCACATAAAAAGTCTTATGCATCAATCATGGTTGGCTGTTTACCCTAAATTTCAATACCTAATAACTCTCCTCAAAACTTGTCAGCAAAACTACAATAAAATATCATTTTTTCCTTTGATTAATTAAGGCAAAAACAGAACCAACCTAATCGAAGTTTATAATTTCAGAATCATTTTGAATTTGCCATCATATATTTACTTCAGAAATGGAGAATACTAATTTTTACATTATGTGACCTTGGCTTAAATAGTAAATTATAGACAAAGAAAGAATGCTACAAATTTTAGGATCTAATTGTGACTTTGATACACAGAAGTCGTTTGGCTCCTCTCCAAAGGACAAGCTGCATAACGGGGCTATGTAACCATGAGGATTAACACATTTGCAAAAACAAGGACATTGTATACAATCTGTTCTTTCATTTGTTATAACAGATGTTGTCCCTTCGTAATCTACAAGTTGCTTGGAGTGACATTAGCAAGATTATGACTATGAAAAAGATCAATGGAACGGTAAGTAGGTTGTATAGAAAATTGGTTGTTGATTAGCCCTTAGACGCTTTGGCAACCTGAAAGGCCCCAATACAGTCTTGGCTTTTAAAGAGCCATTTGGGTCAAATGATGAGGTTTTCTTTAAAAGTAAATAGAGAAAAGCAGTCCAACATGATTCAATTTCCCAAAAGATGATGACTTTCCAAGTTCAATGGTATACATTACATTTACAGCTAGTAAACTACTATGCAGAGAGACATCTAGCATGATGAAAGAGTTATTTTTTCAACATTTTTCTGGATTATTTTCATTCTCCAGCCACTCCAGACCTTAAAAGTTAAAATGTGAATGAGTGTGAATATGGAACTTGGGTTACAGCAACAGCGATGACTACGTTGGTGTCTATACATGGCTCCTCTAGCAACAATACTAATTTTTATTTTTATTATTTTCATTATAAGTTACGTGTGGAAGATATGTAACAATTTAATCACAAATATATATATGTATACATACAATCATAATCATCACCATCATTGCTTTGTTATTATTATTATTATCAGCAATTTAATATTTTGATCCAGAAGATATCATTTGTTTTCAGGATCCCATCAACCTAGAAACTGACTTTAATTGGTTAATTTTGTTAATCTCTTAAGGCTGGTCGCTAGCAAGTTCATCCAAGAAAACCCCATTTCATCCTAATGGGGTCTCAAGTAAAATTTGGTTTTTAAATTAATTCATGTTATTTTAAATGCCATTTAATCATCAATCCCATGTTTGTTTTCTCGTTGGCTCTTTGCTTTCTGCCCCAAACACTAATTGGAAATCTAAAACTTCACAATCAAAGTGATATTTACCTATATTCTAATTGTATGGTATTCCTTGCAGATCATCTCTTTTCAAGGATTTGCACCTTTTTTTCTTCTCATTTTGTCATTCTTGAAGTCATAAAAAAAAAAAAAAAAAAAAAAACAAACAAACAAACGAACAAAAAAAAAAAGCTTGTATCTTTTTGATAAAATTTGAAGAAGATGAATGGGTATTGATTGATGTAATAGGGTTTTTTTATATAAGATTTGGGAATGACAAGAAAGGTATATATGGAGCTCTCTTGTGGCCTTATAAGTGCCATTAGTGAAGGAAGAGGTTTGAATAGTAACTTAAACAGGAAGGAAACTAGAGTTTGCTATTCAATGTAAGATTATTGTCGAAGTCATAATAGGACAAAATGAAGGAGGTTGCTTTCAAAGAGATCGTCCTTAAGCTTCTAATATATTCCTGGGCCTATGTGTATGATTGAGTATAGTGAAAGCATTAGGCTACAAAGAACAAAGTAATTAAAATTTTTTTATCACCAGTACAATGTAATTAATACCATCAGCTACAAGTTGATTATTTCAGGTCAATTCACATGAAAAAAATGCAACAATAGCAGTGACATTATTTAAATATCATTAATAAATTTTGATTTATTAAGGGTACTTTCATAAGTATTCTTATACTTTTTTCTTGTAGGTTGACATAAAAATGCGTAACCCCTAATTATATATATATGGTTAGTTTATATTGACTTGTTTTGGCCATTTTCCTTTTTTAATTACCCCTACCTTGAATATTTCCTCTTAGGTGTAAGATTTTCACACATTGGGAACATGGTTACGTTAAGGAAATTAATGTTTGCATAGAAAGAGAGTAGAAAACTTAGGTTAAAAGAGATTGACCCATCTAAACTTTTCTATTGGCGCAAACCCTAGGTTGAATAAGAGACAATAGTGGTTACAAACGAGGGCTAATACATATTTGGGAGATTTCACTCAATTTTGCACTTCCTATTTGGTCAATCTTGACCACAGAAATTTCACATATTTGTTAATGTCCCATTGCCTGCTATCTATATGGCAGACATGGTTAAAAAACTTCAGCATTGATTGGCAGTTTAAATGGAGCACTGTGATTTTGAAATCATTTCAAAACCAAAACTACCATTGAATTCATAACATGCAAATAGTAAAAACAAAGAAAGGGACAGTAAGTTTTGAAATTGAGGAATTCCATGTTCCAATGTTCATAAAATCTAGGGGATTGACCCTTCCCATTGCTTTTCTTAATCTTTATTGGCTGGCATTAGAATTACTATATTTGATTATTTTTCTAGAATCAATGACAAATGAGCAGATTGAGAGATTAGGAAAGAATATAGAAGTATCCCAGTCGAAAAACGTAGATTAAAGAAAAATGTTAACCCTTGAAAACAGATGAAAAAAATTTCATTTTTTAGCAAGTTTTGTCTGGCATGCCATGAGGGTGTAGACAATGTGTGCATTATGATGTCTAATGACATCAGTTCTCATGCCAGTAAACCACGGTAGTTGAACTGCTGAATTCTTGCAGACCATGTCCAACTTGCTCAAGCTATAAACTCAGCATTAGCCATAAACTAAGTAGTTTCTAGATGCATTAGTGCACAAAAAGAAATTTAAAATAACAAAATAGAGCAAAAGAAGTCACATAAACAGGAAAAGAAAAAATATATATCATCTTCAATTTTCCTCTTTAGAGGATTAATTGGTTGAATATGAAATGATAATTTCAGGCAAGGAGATGAATAAAATAGTAAAATAGTGATGGGGAAGATTTTGGCATTTTGGCAGGTTCAGAGGAAATACAGCCAAAGGGTTATTACACATTTTATAATGATATTAAAGGGGTGAAGTGGGTCCCTCTTTGCCAAATCAGCATGCCTAATCACTAATCTAAACAGGTCACATGTTCATGTGGCAAAGAGAATGGAATAGAGGCTCTAAGGAATGGAATAGAAATTGCCCTTTTTTATGGATCTGAGGATATTATTTTTCCTCAAATGGGGCTTCAGAGGAATTTGCAGAGATTCTCATAGATTGACTATAAAGTTGAGTGTATTTTTGTTGGCAGTTGGTCCAGCTCTAAGAAGAGTTAACAAAAAGCAATTCAAGCAGAGATTAATATAATAAGAGGAGGAATAAAATAGTAAATGATATTGGAACCTTACCTTGTCATTTTGTCTTTGATTTTTGTTGGATACAAAAGGGGAGAGGTTTCCAAGAGAGTTAAGGGTTGGATGACTGAAAACAATTGGTTTTGAAAATCCCCAAAACACTGCTGATTTTGTAGTCTTCTTGAGATCCTTGAATTGGATTTAAACAAACTCAAAGAGGAGGAAGAGCACCATTCAAAACTTTCCATTCCCCTTGATATGTGTCTCTCTACGGAGCTGTTTTTAAGAGTGCCTCGCTTGGCTTAATCTCTCGCCTAAGCATCATGATTTTTGCGTAAACACGCTCCTTGTTAGAGGTAAAACCCTGAAACGGCGGCCTAAGCTTCGGAGGCAGACTCCTCCTCAGGAAGCATCAAGCATATAATAGCTTTGAATGAAGTGAACGTGTGCTTTGAACTTATTCCTTAAGTTCCTCACTTCACAGCTTAAGCTCATCTGACTTTTGCAGGCAGTACAAGTTCTCAAGACTACTGCATTTGAGTCTTGTTTAGCTTCTGCTTCTTTTGGAAGAAAACAAGCTTTCAGACACACCCCTTTAAGTTTCTGTTTCTGTTCTGTTAGAAGGAAGACTGAGTGATATGGATGAGAAGAATGATGCTGATAAGGTGGAAGATGTGATGCTTCCTGGCTTTAGATTTCATCCTACAGATGAGGAGCTTGTTGGGTTTTACCTCAAAAGAAAGATTCAGCAGAGACCTCTGCCAATTGAGCTGATCAAGCAGATAGATATATACAAGTATGAGCCATGGGATCTTCCAAGTAAGCTTCTTAGTCTTATGATGATTCTGTTTAGCATACAGCTTTACTTTCCTTCACCATGAACTTCCATGGAAAATTTTCCTTTTCTTTGTGGTAATGCATCTGCAGTCTTGCTTCTTGACAACATCAGAAGTTTACTTCCCATTTCTTCCCGAAAGTTGTTCTTCCATGTTTGGCTTATGCTATTGTCATGAACATAAACCTACAAACATCTCAACATCATTGTTGTTCCCAAACTTGTCTGTTATGTATTTTTTCAAGTAGCGTGTACACATTATACCCTTTATTATGTTTCTTTTCATATTCAGCTAAAATTTTGAGGATAATCACAACCATCTACTTTTTAACTGAGCCAGAAATTTGAGAGTAATTTATCTTTTCTTTCTTTCTTTTTTACCATAAGAAGAGCTGGCAGCTTCAGGTGAGAAAGAATGGTATTTCTACTGTCCAAGGGACCGTAAATACAGGAACAGTGCAAGGCCTAACCGAGTCACAGGAGCTGGATTTTGGAAGGCAACTGGGACAGACCGGCCTATTTACTCCTCCGATGGTAATAAGTGCATTGGTTTAAAGAAGTCTCTAGTTTTCTACAGAGGTAGAGCTGCCAAAGGGATGAAAACTGACTGGATGATGCATGAGTTTCGGTTACCTTCTCCCTCAGATTCAACACGACAAAAGCAACTGGACAAAAGCCTCCCTGCAAATGTAATGTTTTAACCCATTCTTCCATGTTTTCTTCCTTTTCTTGAAAGGAAAAGATGGTTAAAAAACAATCTAAGATAATATATTTCTTCCCCTTGAACCACAGGATGCATGGGCTATTTGTAGGATCTTCAAAAAGACCAACTCGCTGGCACAAAGAGCTCTTTCCCACCCTTGGACATCTCCATTATCAGAAACTATGGCATCTGATATACTCAATCATGGCAGCACTCATATCAGTTCAGAGAATATTTCTTGCACAACTGAAATGGGTTCATCAGCAATGCAGTTACATGGCAACAATGACCTGCAACAAACCTCCACAACTAGTTTTGCTGCTGTGGATGTTCCCCCTTATAAATCCTATAATCCTATAGTCTATAAACCATCTTTTTTTCCTGTTTCCAATGGAGACCTTACCAGCAATTTCTTATTCTCACAGCTTGACATGTCAGGAGCAACAACAAAGTGTACAGCTGATACTCCCTCTATGCTATTGAGCCCTGTCTTAATCAGTGAAATTAGTAAGGCCTCAGAGAGTATAGTCTTTGAAGGGCAAGAACAGCAGTTTAGTGGCTTCTCAATTAGCCTGCCCCAAGAGATGCAAGGGAATACTGGCGTAGGAGAAGATGAGGCACACACAAGGAAGAACCAGGAGAATCACCGATGGGGGCCTAGCCAATCAATAGGATTCCCTTTCAGCTTGCCTCTAAACCTGCCTGATTCATGGAAGCCAAACCTACCATGGGACTCACCAACCTATCCTAGTGAGATGTCAACTACTTATTGCCCAAACAAATGCTATTCTTAAAGCAATTGTGTTCTGGTTTTGGATTATTAAGTTGGAGCTACTATGAGTGACACAGCTATTTTCAATTTTATTGTACATTTTTCACGTTTCATAATGTATTCCAACTATGAACACAAGACTGAATACTTCCAAGTACTTATTCCATATTTTCTTTTACAGTTCTCATAGCTCTAAGGCTCCATAGTTTTCTTTGCATATGTTACTTGAGAATAGCATGTTTCTCAAAAGCAAACCACTTAGAGATCTTCATAGGATCAGATGGCATCCCATCTATTGAATCCACACTGGTTTCTTGATCAGATATGCATTTTTGAGCCGTGCTCTGGATTATCTAACCTTTGGCCAGACGCGAAAATGTTCGAACACCTACAAGAGAATTATCCAACTTTTGTACTAATTGATTAAGACCCTCTGACATTCAGGTCAAGATGGCCGAGTTGGTCTAAGGCGCCAGTTTCAGGTACTGGTCCGAAAGGGCATGGGTTCGAATCCCATTCTTGACAGGAACTATTTTTTTGGGGTTTATAATCTCCATATAATGAACTCGCACTTGCTTTTAAATTTATTGCAATCAGACCCCTAAGCTCTTTTGAATGATATAACGGTATCTCCTGTTTATCTATCTTCATCAACTTACAAACACGTCCAGGGTTCGAATCCCATTCTTGACAGGGAGTCAGGGACTTCCTTCTCGAGTTTTTCATTGCTATTCAATACTCCTACTTTTTAAATTGTTGCAATCAGGCCCCTATACTCTCTCAAATAATATACTAACATCTCCTCTTCATCTGTCTTCATCAATTTAGGATTTATGAATTAATAAAGATTGTATTGTGTCGATATTCCTGGATTAGCAGTTTAGCAGCAGTTGACACTGAGACTTGTTCCATGATCATTTTATAATTCAAATGAGCAAGTATTATTAGGGCATCTCCAACGTAGGGTGGGCGCTTTCTTATGCCCGTTGGGGATGTCTCCAACAAGAGGCCGGCTCTCCTACAAGACTCGGTCTTTCTTCTCTTTTTCTGACAAATGGCATGGAGAGATTTTGTTCATTCTATTGTTCGACAAATGGTATGGAGATGTGAATTGAAAATAATGTGAGTGCGTCTTTTAAAAAGTCTTTTGACATTAAAGTCAGTGGGAATGCAATGACATTTGAGGGAACACGTTGAAGAAATCCAACCATTGTGAATACTCTTGGGACCCTGAGAAAGGCTCCCGAGCTGATGACACAACAATTAAAAGGTTTGAATGAGTCACATTTTTCTGAAAAACGTTAAAATGCTCTAGATTGAGTTTTATGATCTGAGTCGACATGTTCTGTTCCTCTGCCAAATTCCCAATTAATTAAAAGCAGAATGCAGAATGAAAACAAATATCTTCTTAAATTATCAAAAATAGAAAACCAACAATTGTTTCATCGCCAAAGTGGATAGGGAAGTACCCAACTAATCAGTGTCAAATTATCAAACAAATACTTGAATGAAAATGATTAAAAGATTTCATTGTAGCCACAATCGCACCAAAATTTCACTCAACCAAATCTATTAGTCCAAATCACATTTTACTGTGTCATGATAGAAAGATCCAATTTCCTAGCTCTTTGTGGCCTGCTTTTCTTTAGCCTTCTGGATCTTCAGAACCTTCTTCACAATCTTTTGTTCTTCAACCAAGAAGGCACGAATTATCCTAAAAAGCAAAGCAGAAAATGGCACGAAATTTGGATCAGCCAATTACAACAAAGAAAAGAAATACGATAAGAAAAAATAGAAAATTAAACGAAGAACTGGATTATACCTCTCCCTAACAGCACCTCCGGACAACACACCACCATAGGCACGATTCACAGTTCTGCGGTTTCTGGACAATCTGGACCTCTTATATTCAGTGGGTCTCAAGTGAGGAATCTACACAGAAGGCAATATAAACTCAGGACTCATAATTGTCATGCACTTAACCAATATTAATGCTTGATCTAAAAATCTCATTAAGATTAAAAACTTTCACAATTTGCATTCCTTGGGTGAAGAGGCTAATCTGGGAATGTATAGACCAAGAGACTCACAATCACAATGATCAACAAACAACAGCAATGAAATAGCTACCGGTAAAAGAGAAGACAGGCAGTATGGTTCATTTATAGAGAAGCAATCACATCACAGAAGGTGATTGTGCCTCAGCATGAATCGTGCACTCAATACCCATTCAAAGTACCAAATAATACAAGCTATTTCAACTACTCTTTGCGTCACAACAATACGTCTTGGTAAGCCCTCTAAGTTCAAGGTTGATACATCTAATTTAGTATTGTTTTTAGCTAGCAAGTGATGATCATTAACGTGTGTTGGAAGTGAGATAAATAATAGCAGAGCAAAATTCACACATTCTGGAGTTCATGAACACCTCGAAACAAGCCAAGTCTATGCTTATCAGAAACTACATCCTTTGTTAGAACTCGGAACAAAAAACATAACGATCACCTTAACCTACTGGTTCATCAATTACTAGAGAACCCTCAATAAAACTCCCACAGTCCCACCACCCATCAATTCAAGGAATCTAAAAGAACCCAAAAATGCAAACTGACATAAAACATGAAGACAGATTAAGCACCATCATCAACAACTATAAAAGCAAATGGGTATCATCATGACTACAATTACAATGCTCAGATGCAAGTTCTAAATATGACTACAAGCTCAAAACTTTTCTAACTGCAGCGAAACATTCACCAAACAGAACACTTGTAAAAGAAGAAAAAATACACATACCCCTTGGATTCTCTTTCCAGTAACAGGACACTTGGGGCCACTTGCTCTCTTCTTGGTGCTCTGATACACCAGCTTCCCACCTGCAAATCATACGCATTACAAACAAAACCCACCCGTCATCACTTCTATCAGAATTTATCGACAAACCCCAAATCATAAAAGCCAGAACAAGATATATTCCCCTTCTGCACAAAGTTACACATGGAAAAGTCCGAACACTGTATATACGTACCGGGTGTCTTGACGACGCGATGCTGGTTGGATTTGGTGGCGTAGCTGTGCCGTGTCCGGTAAGTGAGTCGTTGAACCATTTTGCCCTTCCGGAATGTTCTTCTTTCGACTCTTCTTTGCAGGCGAGGGGGAGAGAGGGAGACCGAAAGATCTATGGCGGTGGCGATAGAAGATATATATAGGCTTGAGAAGGATGAAAGCCCTAGATCGGGCGGCTACTGTTTTGGTTTTATATGATCAACGGCTGTGATTAAACGCGGTATTTCCTAAATCCAAAAGGACTCGGAATTATATAAAAAGTCGCACTTGTGAACCTTATGGTTTTGACTTTTTCATATACACCCCTGGATTATCAATTCTTTATTCTTAAAATCCAGAAAAATGAGAAAATAGATGAGTCATTTTCTTTGATTACATTGCAGTAATAGTATAGGCTATCAATTCACCATCTAAAGCAAACATTATCTTTTTGTGTTAATTGTCCATCTGGAAAATGTATGTTTTACTTATACCAAAATTTTTCTTTACATAAGCTCTTCAAGTAGTAGGGAATATGGAAAGAGGCATATATACAATGAGAAAGCTATGTGCTGTCAATATGGGAAAAGTGTAAAAGAAGGTTCTACATGTATCCTTCTGTTAACAAAATTGATACTGCTCAATTTACTACGGCACCATAGCAGCTGATCTGTAGTTACTTTTGACATGTTCAAAACCCTCGTCACCAATTTCATATCCACCTGTGAGAAGAAGTAAAGGAATTGATCTAAATTCTCCTCTTGATGCTTCTTAAATCTGCGTAATACGCAGTTTCCGCATCTTAACAGCTCCTTGAGCCTCTTTTCCTTCTGCATTCAAAGAAGAATTGTGAAACTTAAGTAGAATTACAGTGGTTGGGTGACAGTCCAAGAATAGGACTAATCTGTAACAGGAATACTAAGATCTAACCTTTTGAAGACTTGTTTGAACCTCTGACAAAAGCTCAAGGTCATTAGGCTCTAGAGGTTCAACCTGAGTTCCTTTTCTACTCTTCTGGAATACAGCATTTGCATCTTTATCAGCTCGAACAAATCGCCAGAATATCCTTATTGATTCCTCCATGATCTCCACTAGCATATCACCTGTAATGGCATCATCTTCTTTTCCTTTTCCTTTTCTTCTGGCCATCCCTTTATCTTCTGCAGGCAAAACCAAACATTTATCAGCACGTAGACATATATATTTCATTGATCACTCTCAAATAGATTAAAATTCTAACCTCTTATAACTGGAACTTGAAGGAGACTACGAAGAACACATCGTTTCTTGATATAATTCTGAACTCGAGGCCCTTCAAAAGGCTCATTCTCTATGAATCTCTGCATTAGTACTTGAAACTGTTGAAATTCCCCAGCAACTTCATTGTATCTACGTATCCCATACCGATCAGATTCCCATAGCTCAAGAGCCTTCTCATATTGCCAATGGAGAATTTCCCATGAAAGGCATAATTGTCCAACATACACTGCTTCCAAATCAGTATGCAACTCCCTAATGAACTTCACAGTTGGAGCAAACTCGTGTTTCTTGCTCTTGCCTAGCCGAATATTCTGCGGGAGAAGGGATGTGATTGCCGGACGTGAGGAGGAACTTTGAGTTGAAAAGGACTGAAGTGGGTCCTTGGACTGGAAAAAGCCTATGGATTATGATGAAACATGAGGGATGGATTACTTTACGTAAAACCATTAATACAATCTTTTAAAGCTACAAAAAGCAGATGCAACTGACCAAGCATGCATCAATTATAAGAAAAAAAACTATGAATTATTTTCCATGTACAAGACTTTCTCACTCATCTCTGGCAATTAAAGTAGCTTGTCTGCACACAATAATTTAAAACATATTTGAAAAGAATGTGTGGAGCATTAAACCCACTAAAGACTTTTTCTTTTGAACCAAGAAATAATTGAGAGTTAGGTGAAGTTATTTCGTTAATAAGATTGTGTCAAAGCCAAAAAAATAAGAAAACATCAGACTCAGACATTAAGGCTTAAGCGTCAAGGAAATTAGGGATGTTTTTGCAGGCAGATATGCATTTAGAGACACATCTTCGTCTCTAGAACCCAGAAATAGAGCACTTTTCCTGGAAAACCCTCCCCTAACACATGGGAATGGGATCTCCCAAACACAACAGTAAAATTATAAAAACTAAAACTTTATGAAAAGAAGATTAAGGAATAAGAAACTGACCTATTGCATACATCTTCTGGTAATTCAAGATATCGAATTTTCGCATTCTTTCTCTGTAACTCTTGTAGAATTTGTGAAGCTCGCCCATTCTGTCCACTCGCTGGAACTTTTCTTCAATCTTCCAAGGCTTCAAATCTTCCATTATCTTTGGACATTCTGATTCTTCCATGATGGTAGGAAGACCTGAGCCTCTAACCTTTTTCAGCTCCATTTTCAGTTGTTCTATCAAATCCTGATGCTCCCATAAGGTTTCAAGTTCCTCAGATTCTGAACCAGATGAAGGTTCTGAACTCGATTTCTTAGAATCAGCTGAAGTAGTTGTGGGTTCATTGTTAGTTCCATTGATTTCATCCTTCTGGGAATTTCCATTCTGTTTAGGAGAGTTAGACTCCGATTCTTCTAATTTTCTCAGTTCTTCCATTATATCTCTGTCTTCATCCTCAAAATCATCAGCTTCAGCTTCATGCTTGGCAATCAAATCCTCAATTGATTCTTCCTTCTCCCCATCAAAGTCCATGGAAGGATCAAGCTCGAAACCTTCTTCAAAATCTCCATCTGATAAAAATCCATCACTCATTGAACTGAGAAAATTTCCGGTGAAATCATGGCCTGAGGCAATGGAATCAATATCAGAATCAAAAGCAATGAAGTCCTTTTCTGAAAGAAATCGATAATCCCCTGAATCAACATCATCTTCTTCCTCATAAACAGGTTCATCCAAAGCCCCTTTTTCACCGACATTGTCTGTGGAATTCTCTGATGTTTCTTCAAGATCAGGTTCTTCTTCTTTTGAGTTTTGGTGGGTTATATCAATTTCAGGCAAAAACCCCTTCTCTTTATCCTCTTTAATGCTAAAGGAATGATTGTCTTTGTCAGAATCGGTATATAATTCTCTGACATGAAAGCTCTTATCCTCTGGTTTCTCCACAAAGCAACTCAAATCATTCCCAGACATGATCTCGTACTTGCTTTGACTTAAAGAAGGAACAGAGTCCAAGACAACATCCTCTGCAGCTCCCCTGTAACTCTTACTGAATTTCTCGAAAGTCTCAGTTTGAAACTCAAATTTGAAACAGAACTCCGGAGACTCTTCTTCAGACATGTCCCCCTCTCTGTCCTGAACTTCATCAGCATCAGATTTTTCCTCCTTTTTCTTATCCTCTGGCTCAGAACAACCCGAAACAAGTCGAATGCTTTCTCCGAGTGGAGCATATGGAGAATTCGACTTTTTGGTCTGAGAAATTCTATTCCTGTGAATTCTACGAGGAAGAAAAATGGGAATGTGTCAACAATAAAAAAAAAAAAATACTATAACTTTTTTAATGTACACAAGGAATTATACAAAAGTCATAATTTGGTACCTGGTGAGGATTCTGGTGAGGAAACAAAAGAGAGTAAACAACAGGACAGAGACAGAGACCCAGAAAGACCCACCAGAGAGGAACATCTTTCGAGAAAGAAACCATCAACATAATCCTGATTCACCAAACAGAGATGGGTATCAGGCCAAACCTCAATCTGGATGCCCATCAATATCCTCCATCAAATCTCTGTATTTTTGTTTCAATTGGAAGCAAAAAAAACAGAGCAACAGTTCAGAAGACTATTGCTTCCCTGTTTATATTTTTTGCAAATCCAATAATGGACTTTTCACCTGTAGAAAACCGCTGAACGCATGCTAAAATCCAAGGATTTGCATGAGAATTTGGAAGGAGGGAAGTTGAAATCTGACCTAATCAAGGGAGATTTTGAGGGTTAACAGAAAAACAAGGAGAAAAGAACATGTCAGCGACTGGGGTTTTGAGCTTGCTTAGAGGCAGGGAATTCTGAGGACCGTTATGGGATGGATTAATGTAATATTTTGATCGGGTGAAGGATCTGTGTTTTGCTCCCTCTATTCTATATATGGGCAAAGCCCAGGGTAGGAGAGAAAACAAACAATTGGGTTAAATGGAAAGTTACGCCTTTAATTAGGTTTTTCTTTTTTCTTTTTCCTTTTTCTTTTGTTTTCTTTTAATATTTTTTAGTGGTGTTTGATTAGGTCATCTATCTACTAGACTGCATACTTATTACTTAATTAGTTTGGGAGAATTTTTTTACCAAAAATAAATTCATGATTTACCAAATAATTTAGATGTAATTATGAAAACATAATAATTTAGAACATGCACTTAATTTCCATCCACTAGGCCAATCACAAACTACAAGTCTACAACAAGCCATTAGTATAGGAAGCTTGAATCTTCAACCATTTATTTAGTATTTTCAACAACTTAAAAGTAGTTAATAATAATCTTTTATAATAGAAATAAGAGATTTTGTATTTAAATTTACATAACATACTAGTAAGATAAGTTAAAAGGAAGATTTTCTCTCTTTATAACTTCACGTAATTCAAAATTAAAAGCAAAAATAAATAATTCTTTGATATTAAGAAAGTTGGTTAATTATGATTTAATATGGACATTAAATAGTTCATCAAAAAAATATGGACATTAAATAATTGTATCATTTATGGACTGCATGTAACATAGGTAATTAGTTGTGAGAAATTTTTACCAAAAATAAATTCATGATTTACCAAATAGTATAGATGCAATTATCAAAACATAACAATTTAGAACATGCACTTAATTTCCATCCATTAGGCCTAGAGGCCTAGTACAAACTACAAGTCTACAATAGCCCATTTGTATGAGGAACTTGAGTCTTCAACCATTTATTTAGTATTTTTAATAACTTAATTAATTTAATAATAATTTTATTTTAATTTTCATTAAAATAAGAAGTTTTATATTTAAATTCTTATATAATATACAAGTGAAACGCAAAAGTCAATTGTTTTTTTCATAATGCAATTTAAAATAAAAATAAAAATAAAAATAAAAATTATTCAGTGTTATGAAACTTGGCGAATTGTATCAATTATAGGGAAAACTTGGTCGTCCTACTAATTAATCAGATTAATCAAAGCAGGTGGAGAAAAATACAAGATAAACCGTTTGCTTGAATTTCTTAGTTAGTTCTCCAAATGGGATCCAAATTCTAAATTCTATCCTAAATGGAAACTACTGGATGAATTTCTTAACAAGGGAGTTTGCTCCAAACTTCAAGCCATTGACACACGCACAATGCATGATAGATATAGAAGTGCATTGCAAATATTTCAAGAGTGAGGTTGCAGGTGTCCATAAATTTCACCGGCAAGATTTGCCCCCAAAACCTACCATAATCCTATACGTACATCCCATTTTTGACAACTAAAATCTGGGATTTCTGGTTTGGGGTCACACTTTCGACCCTGCCAAAATGAAATCCATTTTTCACTTGCCAAAGCATTTGTTTCCTTTCCAAAGTCTTATATATATACTTTTTTTTTATTTGATGATTATTACCAAAGAACTCGTAGAAAGTGCACTCGTATTTATGAATGCGTTGGTTTTGGTGCACCTAATTTTTTACATTAATCAGAATTCAAACTGCAATAACAACCTTCTATCTTTTTTTTTTCTCAAATTTTTCCCTTGTTCAAAAAAAAATAAATAAATAAATAAACTCATTGAAAGCAGCTGCTACTGCAGTTATTATAAAATGAATGAAATGATAACAAGATACAAAAAGAAGAAGATCAGGCTATTCACATAATTTCCATATCCCAACTTGAAGCAATTCTCCTAGATAGAAAAGAAGTTTTTTCCTTTATAAATCCCAGGACTCTCCTTATTCTAACATATTTCAACCGTTGAGATATTATTATCAAATACAACACCATTCTTTCGATTGTTGAATTTAGAAATCAACGACCGATAATTTATGCAAGGTTTATACGCGTATAAATAAATTAAAAAATATATATGTTTTGTAATTGCATCCAAATATAAGATTATGTTATTGTTTTCTTCGGTTGATTAATTAAATAATGGTATTTTATTTTTAAGGGCTTTCTTCAGCTAAATTGTTATTTTCTGAAGAGCATGAAGGTCATTTTCATGCAGATTGACTAGGAAAGGCACCCTGGTTTTATAAATTTGAGGAATCATACCTAAAATGCAATCCTAAAGAATTATTTATCATTTGAATTTTGAATTTTAATTACATAACCCCAAAAAAAGAAGAGAAAGAAATTAATTTCAAACAAAAATTGCGCGCAGGAGCTGGAGCAGAGCAGATATTAGGCCCCATTTACGAAGTTTTCTGAATTAGATTAAGGTGAATTAGATATATTAAGTGGTATTAAATTGAGTTTTAATTGGAGGTAATTAATTTGATTTTTATTTTATCAAGGGCAATTTTTTGGGAAGGAGTGATTGAACTCTTGTAGAGTTGATGGTACACATTATTATTAAGCGACATATAAAGTTAGGTGTGTAATTAATTAATTTGATTTTTGGTTGTAAAGTATTAAAATAATCACTATTCATAAAGATAAAAAAAAAATGGTAATTCATAGAACTAAGTGGTCTTTGATTTATGGAGAAAATTAATAGGGAAGGAAAACGAGTGAGGACTGCAGCCAAACGCGGTTACTACAAAAATTAAAGAAGTCTGCGTAAGCTGCTCGCTAAAGGAACAACACGCTGTCCAGAATTCGACTGCCAAAATCAAACTAGGAATCCTTCGTTCAGATCATCGCTATCACCCAAGGCTTCCCCAGACGTATATTCTTGCCGCATGTGAAATAATAATAATAATAATAATAATAATAATAATAATAATAAATATAAATAATTTATAATTAATAAAATTATTTTATTATTATCAAAAAATTATTAAATAAAAATAACATCTAATATAAAGGCGCATCTTAATCAATTATTTAAGTTGAACTTGACCCTATGAGTTAAGTGATTTCCATCACTTTAAAGATTCATCATTTTTTTTGGACAATGGTTCAATCCGGTCTTATATTAATTGTTGAAAAAAAAATCAATTATTTAAGTTACAC